TTCCTGCTGCAGGTTACCATAAAACTACTGACAACCGAAAATGCTGAATCATGCAAGTGAACTGGAAACAAAAACTCATCTCAATAATGGAATTTATCATCTCCAGGTGCAGATTCAACTGGGAAAGTCTGAGAGCAAAGAAAAGGATTCCCCTGTTTTGTACAATTTGCTTGTTTGGGTTTTTCCCACAGTTAGTCCCTATTCAAAGCTGCCAAGCAAGTTTTATAGCAAATTGATTCAATTCTAAAGAGCAATTCGAAATGATTCCAAAAACCATTCACTCCTCAGGACAGATGGGGAAGTTAAGAACCAGGGACTTGAATAGCTGGATCTTAACAAATCAACGAAGTTAACACATACTGCTTCTCATCACCCACTGATTTTCTTTCACAGCATTTTCTATGCCTTTTTTTTTTATATACACTACTGCCAAAATATTACTCTATATATACATATTGTGTATACACACATATTACTATAATATTCAAATTATTAAGAACCTTTTTGCTAAACTAATCTTGACTCTGGAATAGCTTTGCAAACCACAGTATACCACAATGCAGTGACAAAGTTAAAAAAAAATTGCCAAACTCAGACTCACCAAGCTCCTCTTTGGGATAAGCAAATAGGAAGGTATACAACTGCCCAAAGCCCGAGGGAACAATCACTGAGTCACGGCATAGCAGACGCTGGGAGGGACCTCTGGAGACCTCCTAGACCAACACCCTGCTTACCACAGGGTGACTTACGGGGGGCTGCTCAGGTCCTCGTTCAGTTGGGTTGGAGATCCCACAACCTGACTGCTTGTTCCAGAATCTGATCACCCCCACAGTAGGAAAGGTTTTTCTCATGTTTAAGTTGACTTTGTCATATTTCAGCCTATGCCCATTGCTTCTTGCACTGTCAGTACGCACTACCAAGAAGAGTCTGGCTCCATCTTCTTTACAACCCCTTATCCAGTATTTATATACATTGAAAAGATCCTCCTGAGACTCCTCTTCTCCAGGCTCCACAGTTCCAGCTCTCTCAGCCTTCTCTTGCATGTTCCATCCTCCAGTCTCTCCATCATCTTTGCAGCCCTCCACTTTGTGGACCTCCTTCCATAAGTCCATGTCCTCCTGGTGCTGGGGAGCTCACACATATCACCCCCGATATGATTTTCCCAGTGCTGAGGAGAAGGACCGTCTCCTTCAACCTAACAGCAATGCTCTTCCTCACACAGCCCAGGATGCAGATGACCTTCTTTGCTGCCAAGGCTCATCAATGGCTCGCGCTCAGCCTGTAGCCCACAGGACCCCAAGGTCCTTCTCTGCTGAGCTGCTCTCCCTGGTATGTGGCACCTGGGGTTACACCCACCTTAGCTGTAGGACTTCGCAACTCCCTTTGTTAAACTTTTTGGGGTTCCCCTGCGCGTTTCTCCCGCCAGTCGAGGCCCCCGCGAAGGGCAGCACACCCGCATGGCGAATTATCCACCCTCACCCCAGCGGGCTGAGGGCGGACTCCGTCCCCTGCCCTGTCACCTCCGGCACCGGGCAGCGCCC